TACACAAGAAATAACTCAATAAAGTATACTTTTCCAAGTAATGCATATCATGCTAAAATTCAAATCAAAACAGGACATATATAACATGTGATTGAGCTGGAAACAACTTATCATTTTTCATGCTTAAAATTTCTTAAAATTTTAATATATATATATATATATATATATATATATATATATATTACACACTTAATCTCAACTACAGCACATGATAAAAAGGTAGCATCTAACCTCCTTCAAGAAATTTGAAAATGAAACTCTAGAAGTTGATCTCAACCTATCTTCAGCAAGATTTCTCTCGGTTTTTCTTCCTCACTCTATTGCTAAGACTTTGCTTATTATGGTGTGAATTTCGAGTCTATGCGGATGCCCCTTTATATAGGGTAGCAAAGGAGACAACATCACCTTCTTCACATTAACACTCCATCATAATAAACTCATGATTTCTCTTGTATATATCAAGACAAAAACTCCTCCCTTTGACCAGACCTTAATATGGCTCGAAATTCAGCTAAAATGGCTCATTTATTACTTAAAAATACTTAGAAAAATTTGATAAAATAAATAAAGATAATAAATAGAATTCATAACTTGTAAACTTCTTCAATCTATAGTCAATGCTTTGAAAGGGTCATCATGTGATCCTAATCTGATTCCAATGATTAAATTCGTGACTTAATGAAAAATATAAAATTTACGGAATCAAATTCTGACTTAAACGAACGGTTACCGTAAAATCGAAAATTTCAATTTCTCTCTTTTGCTTTTTGCATTTTTCCTTTTTATGCTGAAAAAATTTATTCTTATCATGCCCCAACTTATAATAACATATCACATGGTATATATATCAATATCAAGAAATTTCATGAGGAATAATATGATTTAAATTAACACTTTATTTTTATTTCAACGAAAACAATATCACTTACGACTCTTTACAATTTAATTTAAAATTTTGTTGATTTCCTCTTTGAAAATCCATGCTAAAGTTCATCCTGATGTCTACTAAAATATATATAGAGAAATATAATTTTTTTTTTCAAAACTGAAATCGTACTTAAATTCCGATTAAAATCGAAACCCGATAAAAATTGAATATTTCAAATATAAATTCAAATGTACTCTTAATAAACCTTCTTGTCTAAATAATTTATCTCTAATCATTAACATCTACTTAATCCTTATGACTTATCAACTAAATCATATACGTCACATAAAAATACTTAAGCAATTAATAGTATTTAGTCGATTAACTCAATTTAATGAAAAAACGCCTCTGATTTCACTTTAAAGTCAAGCAAAGTGAATCGGTTCTTTTTATTAACTGAGCGGGGCATTACAGGTTCAAAACCGGTAAATCGGAAACGGCTCACACAGGTCAACAGCTCATGTTCAGGATCTTGATGTTGTTGTTTAAATAGCNAAATATACATAAAATATGTATATGTTATTAAAATATATATATATATATATAATAATAAAATATACATAAAATATGTATATGTTATTAAAATATATATATATAATAAAATATACATAAAATGTATTATTACAAGGTATTGTATTCTTGTGTTAACTAACTAATTTCAACTACATATTTTTGTCAGTATTTTTCTACAATCTCTTATGATATATATTATTATGAAACATGTATACTAGCTTGAAAAAGTGTTTTATAATTAAAATATACGTACATAAAATTATCAATATTCTAATGGTGAAATTATAAAAACAATTGTATAACAAATTATTAACTAATAGAGTATTTACTATATACAATTACACATATTTTTAATGATTATAATTAATAGTTTAATTATTTTTAAATATGATATTTACTTATATATTCTACTTTAAAATTATAATGACATTCAATTTTTTGTATATCTGATTAAGTAGAGGCATAAATTTGTAGAATTTCGCTTATATTCATTTATGTTTATAATTAATCTCTGTAAATTTTTTTAAACTATAGAATTACATTAAAATAAATGAGAGAAAGAGAGATATTAAAAATTATGTAATCCTCTAGAGATATCATTCCGCCCGAGTCAAGTCAAATACCTCATATTCAAGCTCGTGCTCATTTAATAAATGAGGCGACTCGGCTAGACCATTTATTAACCGAAGAGAAATGTAAACTTGATCGGCCCATATAATAAACCCAGTCGGACTAAACTTATTATAAAAATAAGCTCGAATAATTGTTATAATTTGACTACATTAGCGAGGTGAACTTGAGTTTTCACGAACCATACGAACACAATTCGGTTCTTTAACTGTTCTAGCCGGCTAACTTTATTCGCCCCTGAGTGGTAGCAATTTTGCTTTGCATGTATTACGTACAGAGTTTGAATCTTGAAGTCCTCTATTCTATTTCTTTTTTGTTTTTGCCTTTGTATGACTTATGCACCATCTCATTTTTTTTTTCATTATTGTCTTTGTATGATTATTATGCACCATTTTAACATACATGTGTAGCAATTTTAAATTTTAGTCACAATCAAAGCTCATAATTGATATTTAATTTTTTATTCTTTACATCATGAAAACTGAAAAAAAAAAAAATTAAAATCCGATTTGAAAATGAAAATACAAATTCAAACCTGTATTTTTTTATGATAAAATACAAATATGATATTAATTATTGAACTCTTATTTAGAAAAATATCATTATATAATACAAAATTAATGATAAAAATATATACAACTATACATTATACATATAAAATAAATAAAATAATTATACATTAATCAAACCGGTTCGACCGGTTCAACCACTAGTCCAACTACTGAACCATTAAATTGATAACTTAATCGGTTCGATTATCGGTTCAGTTTTGACAACCTTGCTTATAATAACTCAGGTTGGTTTATCGATGGAGTCTTAAACCCCAAGTTAAAAAATTATACTCATAGGCGAAAGGCATGCTTCATTAAATTTGCTTAATTATTTAGAATTGCAAGCTGTATATGAGTGAGCAATATCGTGTACAGTGTACCCTTTGCTTTAAATAGCATCGTCGGCTTAACTAAAAACGGAAGCATGTGACTGACCACCTTTGCATTTATATATTCCAACGTCACATTCGTCCAATTGGGTCAAAAAATGCACATACACATAAATAAATAAATAAATATCCACCTGCTTATAAATATTTTATAATGGAGGAGTATGATCCCATATATCATTTCCTTTAGTTGGATATTTTGGTTTTAATATTTATCATTAAAATTATTTCTTAAATTTTATAATAAGAAAATTTTACATGATGAAAAAGAGATATATATACTAAACTATAAGAGATTGAAAAAAATCATTAAAATACAAAGGAAATAAAATTATTGTTCGGGAAAGGAAGTAATTTAATAAAAAGGAAATTTTATTTCTAATCTTTCTTGCTATACCTCATCAACCAGAATAAACATTTTCAGCTACAAGCCAATCTCTTCGACATTGCCGGAAGGGCTAATTGCAATTTGCCTAGGACGAGCTAGCAATTTCACTTTTGACTCAATTAGTCAAGACGTCAAGTTATACCACACATATACTGAGTTAATGACATGCTAGCAAATACTGAGTTTGGATAAGGCTCAATAGAAGCAAATCGCTGGTCAGCTCGGTTCGGGTCGTTGAGACTTGAGGGCGAATTGGTTCATTAGATATATTAGATATATGAACTGAACTCAAACTTGTTGAAAGCTCTTTAGGTTTACGAATTGAGCTAGACTCAGTTCGTAAACGCTTGAAGATAATGTATGTTTTTTTAAAAAATCTATAGCTCAACTCATTTCTCGAGTTCGATTTCTTATAATTCAAGTCCAACTTGTTAATATTGATAAAAAAACCGTGCTCGATTATTGGTTCGTTTAGCTAACGAATGGAGCTCGGCTCGACTCGTTAAAGGCTCGAAATCATATTGGCTCGTTTAATTAACGAGTCGAGCTTGTATCAGCTCTTACACCCGTCAATGTAAAAAAGTCAAACTCGTGTCATTATTAAACAAGTCAGGCTCGAGTTTTTATTGAACTTATCTTGTTAATTAAACTTGTACGAACACCGTGTGATACACAAGTTAACTATATTGAAATTATATTTACAGATAAAAATGTAGAAACTCGTTATCATTATTATTTTTTTTTCAAACGAAAATCAATATATTAAAACTCAAACAAAGTTTTACAGAAAATCAACTCGTTATCATTAGTTAAAAGCATGATTATGCGTCATTATTTTGGCTATATGAAGACGGACCCGTATGCTATCAATATTCATAATATTTTTATGAACTACGTATCAAATGTTCATTAAAATTACCTCCGCAAAAATATATATAAATTTTTTATACCTAAAATGTACATTTTTCANCATTTTTTTTTTTTTTTACATAACTGATAACTTCTCATTAACAAAATGCAGTGAAATACAAACACAAGACAGTCACACAGAGTCTTGGAACAGTACAAATAGTTTTTTGTGGCGTATGAAAATGATTGGTTGACAAAAATAATTTGTGGCGTTTAGATCTTTGTGGTCAGTACGAATAGTGTTTTGTAAATTCGATAATTATAATTGAAAAGATTATAGTTAAAGAGCTGATAATAAATTATGCAAATCTTGGGATAAAAAAAATTATATAATTTTCACGGACGTTTTTATCAAATTTATATTTGAATGATAAAAAAATGGGTTCAACTATTAAATCATAATTTAAAAGTTCTCTATTTTAGTAATTAATTTTTTTTATAACAAATTTCACATACGATAAATCCCTATCATTTTCATATATTAATAAATGAGTCGATAAATAAGCTTGACTTCAACTCATAATCAAAGTTAACAAATTAAATTCAAGTTTTAATAACTCGTGTTAAGTTGAAAATTCAAATAATTATATGAAAATTCTTTTTCATTTTAAATCGAACAAGCAATTTTTTTATTTTTAGTTTTTTGGCAAAAACAAGCCTTGACTCGAGCTGACGAGCGATTGGTTCGCTTCGTAGGGCCATTCCCTGGCATCTGAGCTAATATGCCGACATCTCTTCCCTCCTTTCATTTTTCCCCTCAGCCTTTAAATACCTCACCATTTTACCGTCTTTAATCAGTAATCACCATTCCCAATACTAATTCGCCAATAAGATCTCCCCTGAAAATCCACACACGCATTCAAGAGAAAGCTGTTTTTTTCTTTTCGAATAATCGCGCTGAAATGGCGAGCGGAAGAGTAGATCTGGACGGGAATGCGATAAAACCGATCACCATATGCATGATCGGCGCCGGAGGTTTCATCGGCTCGCATCTGTGTGAGAAGCTGATGGCGGAGACGCCGCACAAGGTGCTGGCGGTGGACGTGTACAGTGACAAGATTAACCACCTCCTCGAGCCGTCCTCCTTGCCCTGGGCCGATCGCATCCAGTTCCACCGCCTCAACATAAAGAATGACTCTCGCCTCGAAGGCCTCATTCGCATGGCGGATCTCGTAAATGATTTCTCCTTCACTGTGTTTAATTTTTGCGCATCTTTTGTTACTGAGTAATATTTAAAGATGTTCTAGTATTCGGATCTAGGTTGTTTGTGTTGATTTTTTTTTTTTTTTTTCAAATATTGGTTCTTAATGTTTTCGGTTTGCCCTTCATTGTTGGCATTTGTTTTATTTAATTTCAGTGTCGGTGGATTTCCAATTATATATATTGAAAAGTTTCACTTAGTGGATATGTTTTCAAAAGTTGAAGTTCGTTTTAGATCTTGATTGGATTTTTATCCGTGGATCTGATTACACATTTTGTGAGGCTAGGCTAGAGATATTTGTTTACGGTGAACAGGTTTTCTTTTTCGACTGTGTTTTTTTCTTTATATTTCTTGCTGTTTCTTGACTAGCTCGACTTTGAATAGCTACACGCTACTGATTCTCCTAGATCACGCTCAATGATTTTTGTCTATTTTTTTCTTTATAAATGTGACAGGGGTCTGCTTGTTTAAATAGTATATAATAAATGTATTTGTTTTCTAAGGCTTGGACCGAGACTTAATCTTTAATTCTCTTTATTGCTTAGACCATAAACCTTGCTGCTATATGCACACCAGCCGATTACAACACACGTCCGCTTGACACAATCTATAGCAATTTTATTGATGCTTTGCCGGTGGTAAGTGTTTCCTGTTACTAAATACTTTTGTCTTGAGTTGTTTAATCCTTCTAATTGAGATATGCACTAAATGGGTCACTGAAGTTGATGTTTATTTTTTTCCTGTGTTTAGGTTAAATACTGTTCAGAAAATGGCAAACGTCTCATACATTTTTCCACTTGTGAAGTTTATGGGAAAACGATTGGTTGCTTTTTACCCAAGGATAGCCCTTTACGTCAGGTGAGCCTTTTCTTTGTTGGCATGCTGTATTAGATTTATGTAAGGAAAGATCCGTTGTCTATTACATAAATGTAGATTTGCTTAGTATGATCCCTGGTTTGTTACATAGAAGCCCTCAAACATTTTATTTGATAAATCTTTTGTCTGACTATTGCTACTGGAGTTATGGATATGCCTGCTGCAAAATCATTTTTTTATGTCTTTCCTGGTGAACCATGTTGTTGTGGTTTTCCTCTTCTTCTTGCTCATGGAAGATTATTTTGGAGTGGTTGAAAACATCTGCTTGTGAAGTGCCTTTTATGCTATATGAGAAATCACACACTGTGATCCATCACGTAATAAAAGATCTTTGTAGTATTCTTTTAGTTTTCCTCTCTATTTCTTGTTCTGCTGACAGTTGGTGAAAATTGTGTGTGGCTGTCTTGTGTCACTTGTATATGGAACCTATTTGTGCGTTTTTTTTTAACTGTAGGCTACTTGTATATGTTTTTCACAATGAATCGCTGACTGAGAATAAGATTTGTAAGGGAAATGTCAGTGTTTTAAATCATTATCTTCTGGTGTAAATTGGAATAATGTAACAGTGATCTGGTTGTATTAGTACGGGTTAATTGTACCATTATTTAAGTTAAGAGAAGGTTATTTGATGGATCTTGTTATGCTATTAAACCTTTTTTTTTTAATTATCTATAATGAAAAAATAAAATGAAACTGAAAGTGTTAGGATTTATGATTGTTTTACTGTGTAAAAGAGCTCAAACTGACTCTAATTGCAAAATACTTTGTATTGGTTGACTTTCTGTGTACGATGACCATTTTCATGTCACTGTTGTTTAATATATATCACTCGGGTTGATTTCTTATTTTTGGTTCTGTTTATGAATCACCAAGATTATCTTTATGGTTACAGTTTTATCTGTGGCTTAATGAGATAGTTTCTCGAGAAAGTGTCCCATCATCACTCTTCTTCTTTCATCAGGACCCTGCGTACTATGTCCTTACGGAAGATGCGTCACCTTGCATTTTCGGGCCTATTGAGAAACAGAGGTGGTCATATGCATGTGCAAAGCAGTTAATTGAGAGGTTGATCTATGGTGAGTTAATGATATTGTATTCTTTCTATGAGTGTTTTATAACTTGTATAAATCTTCTTACATTCTTCTTCTTACAGCTGAGGGTGCTGAGAATGGCCTGGAATTTACAATCGTGAGGCCCTTCAACTGGATTGGCCCACGGATGGATTTCATACCTGGGATTGATGGCCCAAGTGAGGGTGTACCAAGAGTTCTAGCCTGCTTCAGCAATGTGAGGATCATTTTCAGTAGCTACTGAATTTATTTTGATTTTTATTTTAGTCAATGTCATTTTGCTTATTTTTTACCTTTTACCTGCATAAGATCATAGTTAAGGGTATTTTTTCACAGGAAAATCCGGCCAGGGCCAATGGTCACATATTCAATGTCGGCAACCCTAACAATGAAGTCACAGTCAGACAGCTTGCTGAAATGATGACTCAGGCAATCTCAATAGTCACAAATTTCTCTTTTATTTTTACTTATATAATCTAACATTCAGTAAGCAACTTCTCTCAAATTCCTATTTTCAATTGTATGCTTGCAGGTCTATACAAAGGTTAGCGGAGAATCTCCAGTCGATACACCCACAATTGACGTGAGCTCCAAAGAATTCTACGGTGAAGGGTATGATGACAGTGACAAGAGAATTCCCGACATGACTATAATCAACCGCCAACTTGGTAAGAATTTTTTTTTTTCTTTAATCTTGTTATTATTTTTATTTTTGGAAATATTTATCTTCTAACTGTGTTTACTCAAAAAATGAGCGTTTTTCAGGATGGAATCCAAAGACATCGCTTTGGGATCTGCTTGAATCCACTCTCACTTACCAACACAGGACTTATGCTGAAGCCATAAAGAAGGCTACTTCACAAGCAATGGCCAGTTGAGAGAAAAGTGCTTCTGATATCAGTTTCCTTCATGTGCTGCAATTTGGAGGACCTTTCATTTTTTATTTTATTTTTTTAACATTCCCACATTGTTTTCTGGTGTAGTGGCCTTTGTACTGTATGCCTTTGTATCTTTTGTGAGGGCTGTTCCATTAATTTTGACGCAATAGTACAACTAGACGTTTGGTCAAAAGACTCAAGACAGTATCCGTGGATATAAGATCAGAGCGGAAAAGCTACTATCATATTTTCCTTTGGTGATTGTTGGTGTTGGCTGCATGTTCTTAGTTTGTCTACAAGGGAGTGTGTTGTATAATTGTATTTATTTTTTGGTCATCGTACTTTTTTGGTTAATTATACTTTATTATTATTATTAACTTATATACTGTTTTTTTTTATTATTATTTTTTTTATGTTGGTTGAAGGAAAAACCATTTCAAAGTGGATTGCTCTGTTTCATTATTCACAGAGATTTTTATTTACCATAAATAGTATAGAAAAATTTGAAATATAAAAATTATTTTTAAAAATTAACAAGGTTTACTAAATAAATACGAGTTTGTTATTGTGAATATAAAATATGAGATTTGTAGATAGATAAATATGGATAAAAAAAATTTAAGCCATGACTTTTTAGAAAAATTTAAAAGATTCAAATGTTTTCTGGATTTACCCATAACATTTAAGGAAATCATTGTCCATATTTTTTGGAATTAAAGTTTACACAATATTTTTCTCAAATAACATTTTTTTTTAAATTTGAATTTGAATTTGAATTTTCATTCAATTGCCATTTAAAAAAAAAACTACGAAGAATATATTTTTTTTTCGGAACGATAGAGAATTTTATATATCAACAAGCACAAATGTGCAAAGATACAACCTCTAGTTGAATGAAACAACCAAAAGCTGAATAAACTAGGAGGACAAGTCAGAAGACTGCCTATAACCGACACTAGCAACACTAGAAACCAAAAAACAAGACTCACGAGTCACGACAGACTAATAAAAAACTACAAAGCTCCTAAAAGGAGAATAGAGACGATCCCAAAGAGATAATGTCCGCTCTCACTCGGGCGTAACAGAGGCTAGAAGCCCAAACCAAAACCACAAACCTACCACACAAACCAAAAACAACACAGAAACAAAACAAAAAAGTACACGAGCCCTTCCACAGCAACAATTCCAAGCCGAACCAACAGTCACCAAGTCGACCCAAGGGGAATCCCTACTGCCGAGAAAAACAACCCCGAAACTTCCAAAATTGCCTAACTGAGCATCGGAAATTAACGATGACGGCACAGGCGAGAGAGAATTTGGGGGGAGCGAATTAGGGCTGAGAGAATTTCCCAAAACTAAGAATAATAATTTAGTGAAAATTTTAATGCTATTTCATGTAAACTCTATTATATAGTAATAGATTTTGTTTCCTTTTCTACGGGGTAGTGTTTTCAATTTGACCTGGTTCCCTTAATTAATATCTTCAAATTAGATTTCCAATTTGAAAGTTGGATTAAGCCAAATTTATGCGTGATCCTATTGTAAGCAATCTTCCT